AAAAAGACTGTGGTGCATCCAGGAAAACCAAGGTCAAGGGCAGACTGCAAATGCAAGAGATGAGTCTGGGGAGGAGGGAAAGGTAGATCACATCTCCATGCCTCAATTTCCCCATGAGAAAGTGGGGGATAATAGGACTATTGTGAGGGTTTAAGTTAATATTGTAAGGTAACTAGATAGTGTCTGGTGTGAGGGGTGCTGTTGGAAGACATTTGTCAAATCAGTCCATGGGAGAGGCCAAGTTGGCACAGGTCCTAAAAGCTGGAGTTCAGGGTCAAGGCCTGGGCCAGAGAAAGGACACGGCTGGCATGGAACAGACCCTGAGTCCCTGGGCTGAGATGAGCCTGCCACGGAGGGCAAGATGGCGGAGACAGAGAGAAAAAGGCCTGCAGAAGCACCTGAGGAGTCTATGGACATGCTACCCTGAACAAGCCCGATCCTGTCTTATCTCAGAAGCTACGCAGAGTCAGGGCTCAGCAGAGTCGGGCCTGGTTAGTACTTGGATGGGAGACCACCTAGGAAGACCAGGTGCCGTAGGCGTTTTTAAAAAAAAGGGGTGGGGGATTGTAAACTGACAAGGTCCTTGCAATCTGTGAGGTCAACCAAGGGTTGCCTTGCCTAAAAAAAAAAAGAGGAGGAAGCGGGAAGGGCAGAGGGGGACCAGAGGTTTCAGGGGCCAGCCCTGAAGTCCCACAGGACCATCTCCTCAGTGCCCCACAATGGCCTCTGCGGTCCCTCCCCTAGCCTGCCCTTCGCACTGCTCCCATCTCATTGCCAGCACCAGTGATACATCCAGCCAGGTGCTTAGGCCAGACACTCCAGCTCAGACACTCCAGCTTTGTGATTATCTGTCTTAATCTGTCTCGTGTGGTCTGGGTCACGTGGTCTTGGTCCCAAGGGCTACTGGTGAGTTCTGCCTTTTTGCTTCTCACCTGGTCAAGACTCCCTTCCTCGGCTCTTGCTTGAGGCAACACGGGCTCCAGAGCCAGACTGGTGGGGCCCAAACCCTAGCCAGTTGTGAGACTTCGTGCAACCTTGGGTAGCCAGTTAAGCTCTCTGAGCCTCAGTTTCCCTATGTTTACCATGGAGATATAACCAAATCATCGTCATAGCATACTAATGAGGTGCTGGCTTCTGATGCAGCACTTATGATATCTGTCCCCTGAAAGCCACTTGCTCACTCCCCACCTTCTGAAGGGAAGGCTGGCATCCAGGAGCATTTGAGGGGGCCTGCCAGGAACCTCTGGCACCATCCTCTCCATGTGACATCTCCTTCCTACAGTTTGGCATACACATGGAGTTATCTTTTTCCTTTGCTTGGGGTCCCATCCCCCTGGATCAGCCCTGACCTTTTCCCCCCACACACCCATGACCATCCCTGTCATACATAACTGGAAGATCGCACCAGGGAGGAGCTGTAAGAGGGGCAGGGGTTCTTATTCTGGGGCCCCTGGATTTCCCTGGGCTGTGTAAACCTGAAAACTCAATTTGGGTAGCCTTGACTAGGCGGGGAAAAAATAACTTCTTTATTTTCACTAACCTCTAGCTGACATTTAGTATTTTCTCTCATGAAGAATGGAGGCAACAAAGCCCAGCAAGGTCAGCAGGACCTGAATTTTGGTCCCATACAAGCCACAGGTGTTTTCGAGTCACATGACAATTGTTGCAGGCACCTGGAAACCTGTATTCTCCTCCTCACTACTTCCAATTTCGGGGAGTTGCTATCATTTAGGGTAACTTAGAAGTACATATGTCATATGTCACAAATTTATACTTCTAGTTTAAAATTTTTAAAGTCTTTATAGAAATATAATTGGGTTCATTTTATATATTAAAAACATTCTAAGACGAGGTCCAAGGCACAAAAAAGGTTTTAAAACTCTGACTTCAGGTCCAGTGCTGCCACCTAGCGTCCCCTCTGGTCTCTATTTTAAATCGGTAGATTGTGAGTTGAGGATGTTCTCAGAAGCGGAAATAGCTTCTTGCAAGTGAATGAAGCCCTCAGAACAGAGGCTGGCAGAAAGGACGCCAGCTACTAGTACTGCTGTGATGGTGGACACCTCTCCGCCTGTGCAAATAAATGTTCCGGCATCTCTGCGGCCGCTGTGGGCGGTGCCCCGATGGAGCCATGGGGAAGCCAGAATGAGGTCAGGCCCAGCCAGCTCTGCAAGCAAAACTGAAACTGAGAAAGAATGGAAATTCCGAGCCGGGTTGTCCTCCTCACCCTCCCCGTGACCCAACAGGGGCTGCCTAAGATACCCAAGAGAGCCTCGCCAAGAGGCCAGGGAGAACCACGGCGATGGGCGGGCGCCCAGCCCGGCTAGCAGATAGGGGAGCTGACGCTCTCAGCTACCTGCCACCGCCGAGCGTGCCCAGGGCCTTCCTGGAGGATCAGGTCTCGGGAGCCGAGCGCGAGCGGCGTCCTCCGGAGGGGCTCACTGGGATCCCCAGGAAGCTGAGGCGTCGGCTGGGTCGTGCGGGTCGGGGGTCACCGCCAGTCCTACGTGCCCCGCCAGCCTCCCGGCGTCCCCTCCCGCTGGCCGCTCACCCCGATCCGGGGGCCCCAGTGGGAGGAGATAAACCAGAGCCCTGCCTAGCCCGGGGCTCAGCGTCCCCCACAGATCCTGGGTCAGCTCTCCAACTCACCACCCCTCCAAACCCAGAGGCAGCTTCCGCCGTCTCAGCCAATATCTCTTTCGCCTCCCCCAACCCCACCGGCACTCTAGTGGGGAACGATTGGGGGTCCGCCCCACGACCCCCGCCCCTCCGCTCGAAGTCACCTGACGCGCTCTCCCACACTAGTTCCAACAGCAGCAGGAGCAGAAGCAGCGGCGCGCACCCGGGGCCCCGCCGGCCTCTGGCCGCCAGCCTCGATGGTTGCCTCAGGGCGCTGGTCCTGGCGGAGACCCTCTTCAGTTGTGGGGCCCGTGGCTTTGTGTCAATGCCTGCCGCCATCCAACCCCGGACTCGTCCTTTGTAGGGTCCCAGGCTTGTGAACGCTAGCATCACCAAGGCTGCTCAGCTGCTGCCTCGCCCCGCCTTGGCCCGGCTTCCGCCCCGCCCCTCCTGGCTTTGGCCCCGCCCCTCTCTTGGTTCGCTGCAACTCTGACGCCTGCGGATCCTGGATGGCCCCCTCTGCTGGTCCTCCGAAGGAGAACCACCCCCCACAAATATGAAAGGAAACCAGTCAAGTTGATAATACGAAATATAGCTTATACGTTTCTTCACTACCTCACGAAACGAGACCCGGCGGTGGAGCCAAATAATGTTACTGTCATTTGACAAGTAGGGCAGATGTCTGTCACAACTTTCAAGTGATTCGAAAATACCTGTGGTTTCTGTTGGGGACCAAGGCATGAGTCTCCTAATCCTACTGTACTTTTCTACCTCCATTCACCACGGGAAGAATGGCTGCATTTCAGCTAGAACTTAGTGAAAATCAAGGTTATTTTTCCCATCCAGATTCACAGTCCCCTGAATTCTGACCAGGGGAACCCTCCCCCCCTTCC